AAGCATCCCCACAACATGATGCTGCCACCACGTTTCATGGTGGGGATGGTGTGTTCAGGGTGATGTGCAGTGTTAGTGTTCTGCCACACATATCATTTTGCTTTTAGGCCAAACAGTTCAATTTTGGTCTCAACTGACCAGAGCACCTCCTTCCTTTTTGTTTTGGTGTGTCCCCCAGATGGCTTCTCGCAAACTGCAAACAGGACTTCTTATGGCTTTCTTTCAACAATGGCTTTCTTCTTGCCACTCTTCCATAAAGGCTAGGTTTGTGGAGTGCACAACTGATAGTTGTCCTGTGGACAGATCTCCCACCTGAGCTGTGGATCTCTGCAGCTCCTCCAGAGTTACCATGGGCATCTTGGCTGCTTCTCTGATTAATACTTTCCTTGCCCGGCCTGTCAGTTTAGGTGGACAGCCATGTCTTGGTAGGTTTGCAGTTGTGCCATACTCTTTCCATTTTCGGATGATGGATTGAACAGTGCTCTGTGAGATGTTCAAAGCTTGGTATATTTATTTTTTATAACCTAACCCTGCTTTAAACTTCTGTACAACTTTATCCATGACCTGTCTGGTGTGTTCCTTGGCCTTCATAATGCTGTTTGTTCACTAATGTTCTCTAACAAACCTCTGAGGGCTTCACAGAACAGCTGTATTTATACTGAGATTAAATTACACACAGGTGAACTGTATTTACTAATTAGGTGACTTTTGAAGACAATTGCTTCCACTAGATTTTAGTTAGGGGTATCAGAGTAATGGGGCTGAATACAAATGCACTTTTCAGATATTTATTTGTAAAACATTTTGAAAACCATTTTTTCATTTTCCCTCCACTTCACAATTATGTGCCACTTTGTGTTGGTCTGTCACATAAAATCCCAATAAAATACATTTACGTTTTTGGTTGGAACATGACAAAATGTGAAAAATTTCAAGGGGTATGAATACTTTTCCAAGGCACTGTATACTGACATACAAATTCTTTGATCAAGTGTGGTCTGGATTCCCCTTGGCTGTGTAGTGCAGGCTCGGGGGGGGTAGATTGTAGAGCCGTGTAGTGTATAGTATCTTTCAAAATAGGAGGCAATGTCTACGTTCGAGGTTGCTATGGAACTGTTGTGCTTTCTTTGCATGGAGAGCCCTTGCCAGGAGCCTACCATTCTTGTTGCCTTGCTCGTAAAACAGCTTTTCTGACAAGAAGTATTTGCACTTTGTCGCCTTTTCCAGCTGTTCCAAGAGTTGAGAACACGCTTGAGTTAGATCTTGACAGATCTACATCGCTTTGGTTCTTATATGGGATTTTTCCAGGGTCGTGATGCTGGTTAGGAGGGCCTGAATGTGTGCCTGTTTCTCTTGCTTGCATTTAGTGGCAAGAGCTATAGGTGTACCCCTTATGATGCACTTGTGGGCCTCCCACTGCATCAGGGGGAGACATCAGGGGTGTTGTTGGAAGTAAAGTATTCAGTTAGGCAAGTGCAGATAGTTGTTTCATGGTTTTTGTCAGATAAAAGCGAGGCATCCAGGCGCCAAATTTTGTCACAGTCCTGGCAAATCCGGGAACATAGTGTGAGTGAAATAGGGTGGTGCTTTGACAAAAACATTGGTTCAATGGATGCTGCGTGCAGATAGGGTAAGTCAGGTTGTGACAGAAAAAGCTAGTCAATCCGGGAATAGCGATTGTGGGGTGGGTAGGTGCAGTCTTTTACTTTAGGATGGAGTGTGCGCCATGTGTTGTGTAGGAGCAGATCGTGTAGTTGTAAATGGATTTGGCGCAGTGCTCTATAAGGGAGGTATGATATGCCTGAAGAGGAGTCTATCAAGGGGTTGAGGGGAACATTAAAGTCACCTCCCATAATTAAGATCTCTGTGTGGAAGGTGGATAGCAGGTTCACAACTTTTCGGAAGAAAGGGACCTGCTTGACATTCGGGCTGTATACATTAGCCAGTGTAATTGGTCTGTCACCTAGCGTTCCCTTAAGGAGGAGGTAGCGTCCTTCTTTTTCAACTACATGGACATGGAATGGTAAATAGACTAAATAGGTATGCAGATATAACTACAGTGGGGCAAAAAAGGATTTAGTCAGCCACCAATTGTGCAAGTTCTCCCACTTAAAAAGATGAGAGAGGGCCTGTATTTGGCATCATAGGTAGACCTCAACTATGAGAGACAAAATGAGAAAAAAAAATCCAGACAATCACATTGGCTGATTTGGAAAGAATTTATTTGCAAATTATGGTGGAAAAATAAGTATTTGGTCAAACAAAGGCTACCATCAGTATCAAAAGTTCATCTCAATACTTTGTTATATATCCTTTGTGTGGCAATTGCAGAGGTCAAGAAGGTAAGACTTCACAAGTTTGGCACACACTGTTGGTGGTATGTTGGCCCATTCCTCCATGCAGATCTCCTCTAGAGCAGTGATGTTTTGGGGCTGTCGCTGGGCAACACGGACTTTGGTGGCTGACTAAATACTTTTTTGCCCACTGTAATATAATGATGGCTCATGTTCTGGAAGCCATGAAGGAGGAGGCAGAAGAATTGGTTGAACTACGATGACAGGTGATTGCCAATCATATGGGTCAGGGGCGTCAAACTGGCGACCCTCCAGCTGTTGTGAAACTACAAGTCCCATCATGCCTCTGTCTTTGGGAGTCATGCTTGTAACTGACAGCCTTACAATGCCTCATGGGACTTGTAGTTTGGCAACAGCTGGTCTATCAGCTGGCAACAGCTGGTCTTGGTCTATCACCGCACACGGTCCTCCCAAGGTGCTGTGATGTTACACCAATATGGTTGCCAATAGCTATAATATAAATGCACACTTAGCTGCAGCAGAAGGATTACAGGGGGATGTACATGATATTATTTTATTAACCTTAAGTTGGATTTGTCTGATTGGGGAGGAGGAGCTCTATCTTGGTAGTCTTGGCTTTAAGCTACTGAATTGGTTCAAGGGAATTGGTGAAGTATTTAAGACTTTCTTGATAGGGTTGTTAAAAATATTAAGCATTGTTCTGAGTGTCATAATAGGCTTGCTTCTGTGCTTTAAACTGAGTTTGTGTGGTGGAAAGCAATCTCCAAGAAACTACATTTTAAGAAAAAAACTCAGATATGCTCATTACTTCATTTCAAAGGAACAATGTAAAAAACACACTGAAAAGAAAATGACAATAGTCCACCTAAGCTATCACCTGTAATAGATGCACCGTTTGTGATGTCCCCTGATGAAACTGAACCAGCAATGCCTTGTCTACAACCCATATTGGATGACTCTGTGAGAGAATTTATGACCTCTGGGCAAGAAAAACCAGATGATTTGAACAACCTGATTACACAGGAAGAGACCATAGCTGCATGTTCTCTCCCACGTCAGTTGATGAACTATGGACTGCGCCCGCATCCACACCATATCAGTCACTGATCAATTTACCACTCATAGGCCTGGAACCAACAGAAAACCACCCCTATTGTGCTACAGAAACATCGGGATCTGCCTAAAAAGCAAATGAGACTGCAAAAGACATTGTAATTGTGAGGCATTCTTATGTGTTTTGGGCGCGATCCAGGGCACACTGGTTGAATATGGAATATTTAGGCTTCTCTGACCAAGAGGCCTGCATTTTGGTGGTTAGGCTGTAGATGGATGGTCTGGAGACAATTGGCTCAGGCTCTTTGAGATGAGACTGCCTTCAATTGTCCACAGCCCTTCGCTATCATCATTCATTTAGGGGGTAATGACTTAAGGAAGGAAAGAATTGCAAGGCTAATAGAAAGGATGCAATGGGATATGCAGTAGATGATAGGACAATTCCCTAACACACAAATAGTCTTTTCACACATCATCAACAGGCCTATGTGGAGAGAAGGGTGAGTCAAGGATGCAGAAAGTTTTAGTCAAGAAGTTGGGAAGGTTTTGTGTGAGGCCAGTTGATTTGTGTATCACCATTATGGCTTGAGGAGCCATAACCCGAGGCTATTTAGAAAAGACAAGGTGCATCTAAGTGACAAAGGGTGTGAAATATTTTTGGGGGCCTACGGGAAATAATTGCATTATGCAAAAGTAGAGTGGCTTAAGAGTGACACATGAAGTAGACATTATGATTCTTTAGCTAGAGTATGAATGCTTACATATGTTAGAGTGTGGAAAATAAGTCAGCAATAAGCTGAGTGCTTGCTTTCTGTGATTGCATAGGGCCAATATCCTCATCTGTTGTGTTCCTGTCCCGGTGGAAGGCATTCCTCTGACATGTAAGTGAGGCTTAGTTTACGTATATGTCCCGGTAAAGGACAGGAATGGGAAACTGTCAACCAATAAGCAAGTTAGTAAGGAAGCTTTTGTAGCATCTGCTTCTGTGGAACATAATAAGCAAAGAGATGTGGAGTAGTGGAGGACCATGCCTGTGATGTGAGGTAAGGAGGAGGAAATAGCATCTCAGGGTCCACCGCTTCCAGGAATCATTCTGCAATTTCCCTAATAGTAGATGAAATAAAGGATGATGTGGTCAGCTATGGCCAAAGGGGGAGAGAGTGGCATGAAGGGAATCTCTCTTTCTATGGCCCTGCTGATGATCATGGTTAAGATCACTAAAACATCCACATTTATATTGTATTGTTTGGAAAAATTATATTCATGAGAGTGAAACTTATGATTACTTAGAGCATGTAGTCAAGACTTTCATATAGATAAATGAAAGTCATTATTTATGCAATGCTAAGGAGTTTGTGCCTCCCTTAACACATCTGTGTATAAGGAATTAATGCTTGTGATCAGTAATGATTAACCACCTCCCGCCCGCCATATAGTCCAGTGATGGGCACAAGGTGGTTCTCTTGTTCTGGAAGGACGTCATATGATGTCCTCCCATTCTAACCGTGCATGCGCGGCTCAGGGAGCGCGCGGGCGATCGGCGGTGCGCTGTGTCCCTCGGACACAGCGGATCACCGATCCATGGAAAGGGCCGAAGATGTCGGCTCGGTCATGTGATCAGCTGTGTCTAATCACAGCTGATCACATGTAAACAGTGAAATTTATCGGCAGCTCGAGAGGAGAGCCAGTAATTGGCGTTCCGCGGAGGGGACATGTACACTGATCATCAGGGCACTGATGATCAGTGTAACCTGATGATCAGTATAGCCCCAGAAGTGCCACCTGTCAGTGTCCATCAGTGTCAGCTGTCAGTGCTGAACAGTGCCACAGTGCACATCAATGCCACATATCAGTGCCTACCAGTTCACATCAATGCCACATATCAGTGCCCACCTGACCTTCCTTTCAGAGTCACCCATCAGTGCCACCTATCAATGCCAATCAGTGCCACCTATCAGTGCTGCCAATCAGTGTCACCTATCAGTGCCAGTCAGTGCTCCCTATCAGTGCCAGTCAGTGCCGCCTATCACTGTGCATCAGTTCCACCTACCCGTGCCTGTCAGTGCCGCCTGTCAGTGCCAGTCAGTGCCACCTATCAGTGCCATATATCAGTGCTGCCTTTCAGTACGCATCAGTGATGCCTGTCAATGCCCATCAGTGCCACCTACCAGTGCCTCCTCATCAGGCCACCTATCAGTGTCCATCAGTGGAGCCAATCAGTGCCCATCACTGCAGCCTCATTAGCGCACATCAGTGAAGGAGAAAAAAATCACTTATTTACAAAATTTTATAACAAAAACTAAGAAAAAACTTTTTTTTTTTTTAAAATTTTTCAGTGGTTTTTGGTTTGTTTAAGAAAAAATAAAAAAAACGCAGAGGTGATTAAATACCACCAAAAGAAAGCTCTGTCTCAAAAAAATGACAAAAATTTCATATGAGTACAGTGTTGCATGACCGCGCAATTGTCATTCAAAGCGTGACAGCGCTGAGAGCTGAAAATTGGCCTGGGCAGGAAGTGGGTATAAGTGCCCTGTAGGCAAGCGGTTAAAGGAGGGAGTTATGTATATGCATAACTATGATCCTTACTGAGCCACATATTTAGAATATTATAAGATGGCTATGTATACTCCATTTTGTCTCGTAAGAAATGCTTCTAGTTGTTTATTGCAAATGACACGGACACATATCTAGATTGTAACTGTGCCAGTAGGCTTCTGGGGAGTGTCCACCGATTTCCACCCTGTGTCACATTTTATGTCAAAGACCATCTGTTGCTATTTGATAAGAAAGGATATATAAGTGGAGAAAATCTCTATGGCAGGTGGAATACAGTGAGAGCTGACACTGTATTTCCCATATATGTATATGCAGCAATCAATATAATTCGGAGCCTTATCTTGTCTGTGGATAATTATTCAAGTTTCCTAAAAACAGAGGAACTTGAGGAGGTACAATCCTTCCTGTACAGGTGTATAACAGCAAGCCTCAGTAATTTATGAGGTTAGGTTGCCTGCATCGAGGTTAGGTGGGATATACTTAGAACAAACTTGTTATATATACTGTAGGTGTGGGTGCCTTGGGACACTCACACCATAGAAGGGGGTTTGTCCTCCCATCCACCAGGCTGTATAGGGCTGTCATGAGGTAACAAATACATTCAGTAAGAGCATCTTTGCTTGGAGAGTAAGGTAGGTCAAGGGGTAGATGTGTTAGTCGTAGGCTGACATTCACTGCTTGTGCCTAGGCCTCTAGGGGCACATGGGGGTTTGGCAAGAGCCGAGGCTGGGAGGCCAACCTTGCCAACCACTTACCCACATTTTGCGGGTGAATAGCAGCTCTTGGCACAGCGACGTAATCTTGCATCACTTCCTATTTTGGGGTGTGAACGCACCTGCGCCCCCCGCTGCCCCCCCCACCCGTAGGTCCAGGGAGAGGAGAGAAGAGAGAACACGTCACAGAGTAAAAGCAATACATTTTACACACACACATTAGAGTAGCACATTTAACCCTTTGATCGCCCCTATTAACCCTTTGATCACCCTGTCACCCAACCAGTGCCATTAGTACAGTGTCAGTATATAGAATTTTTCACTGATCACTGTATCACTGCTATTAGCAACATCAGATAGCGTCAGGGTCAGTAAGAGCCCCACCCAGCCAGGGTCAGCTAGCGTTAGGTTGCCCGCACATTATCGCACTCACGCTATGGGTTGCTGATCACCCCCCATTACTAGTATAGTGTTTGTACAGATCAAGATATTGATCATGTACATTGGGTTGATTTCGGACCATGCTCCTGTCATAATGAAATTAAGATGGGGTAGTTGGAAGACGGGGGTTCTGACGTGGAAGTTGAATGAAGCACTTCTCCTGGATCAAGAGACTGATAAGAAGATAGAGGTAGAGATTAAGAGATTCTTTGAGGAGAATGATACAGGAGAAGTGTCAGTTGCTACAGTATGGGAGGCGCATAAGGCTTACATCAGAGGTATACTCATTGCGATTGGGGTTAGAAAGAAAAAAGAAAGGAGAGAGAAAATGAATGGACTTTTAAAGGAATTATTTGAGCTTGAACAGATGCATAAGAATAGAATAACAAAAGAGATAAATCAGAAAATAAAAAATAAGAAAGAAGAATTAGAGTTAGTGATGGAAGAGGAAAAAAAAAGAAGAGTTTTTAATAAAGTCCTAAGTGAGAGGTATAATTGGGGAGAGAAACCAGGAAAGTACCTAATGAGAGATCTGAGGAAAAAGAAGAATAGGAATTATATTGAAAAGATAAAAAAAAAACCAAAGGAGAATTGGTGTATTCAACTAAAGATATCGTTAAGGTGTTTAGAGAATATTATAGTAAGCTGTATAATATTACCCCACATGATACTATAAATAAGATGGGAGAGTCGAAAAGAGAGACATATTTGAAAAATGCAGGTTTGCCTAAACTAAATGAAGAACATATGAAGTTTCTAGACTCAGAGATTACACAGGAAGAAATAAAAATAGCATTAAAAAGCTCTAAGTCTGGGAAGAGCCTAGGACCAGATGGCTACACGGTGAGATATTATAAAAAATATGATGAACTGTTGATACCCAAACTGAAGACTCATATGAATGCTTTGGGGGGAGAGATGAAGATGAGGCGAGAATCCCTACAGGCCCATGTGGTATTGATTCATAAGGAAGGAAAGGATGAATCCCAGTGTGCAAGTTATAGACCTATCTCACTGTTGAATACGGATACCAAGTTATATGCAAAGGTTTTGGCAAACAGGTTGAAGGATTTGATGCCTGACTGGATCCATGGAGATCAGGTGGGCTTTGTTCCAGGAAGAGAGGGCAGAGATAACGGGTTGAGATCCCTGTTGCTTATCCAGAATAGCAGAAAAAGGAAAAATCCGGTAGTAGTGCTGTCGATTGACGCTGAAAAGGCATTTTACAGAGTTAGCTGGGGTTACATGATGGATACTTTAGAAGTCCTGGGGATAGGTGCCAGGATGAGAGAGTGGATAAGAAAGTTGTACAGTGGGCCCTCCGCAGTAATTATGGTAAATGTTGAGAGGTCCGAACCTTTAGGGATGTCAAATGGTACAAGACAGGGATGCCCGTTGTCTCCATTATTGTATGTCTTGTCCTTGGAGTCTCTATTGTCTACAATTAGGATGAACGAGGACATTAAGGGTATTCAGATAGGTGATAGAGAACATAAGGTGGCAGCATTTGCAGATGATCTCCCATGTTTTATGTGGGCTATTTTCTGAATCCCAGGATAACACTCCCAAATTTAATGAAAAGCCTGAGGGAAGTATGGGGAACTATCAAACTTGAAAATCAATATAACTAGAGAAGAGGATGGAGATTCTGAATATTAATCTCTCAAATAGGATGAAAGAGAAAACTTACAAAGAGAATTTCCCTTTAAATGGAAGAAAAGAGTTAAAGTATTAGTTTCCAGGAATAAAACTTACAACCTCAAATCAGAATCTAAAATAAATTAAATTTTTGCCGTGCTTGGATTATTCTTCTTTTCATTACATTATTAAATGAGATAAAGTTAGAATTAAGGAAAATGGGGGAGGAATCCCGACTTGGTTAGGACGCATAAAATGATGAAAAATGATAATTATACTTAAAATCCTATACAAATTCCAAATGGTCCCCATCAAACTTCCTGAGGTTTATTTTAGGATAATTAAAAAAATGATAATAAGATAATATATGGAGGAATAAAAAACCTAGAATAGCTTAATGCAGCGGTTGAAGTCTTAAGTAGAACTAAAGAACGGGGGGGCTTGGGAGTGCCAGATTTTAAAAGATACTATAAAGCAGTAATTCTATCAAGAATATTTTATGATTGGACATTCACTGCACTGTTTTTAACCCAGATGGGAAAAACTTGGACTTTAAAATTGAAAATACACTGAGTGGAAGGATATTGTTAGAAAATGTTTCAAAACGCCAGGTGGTGCCCCTGGCTGCCCACTTGACAGACCTACCCAAAGCGTGGAGTCTAAAATAGTCCCGGTCTGTGCTTTTCAACCAGGGCAAGACCCTGATGGTGGGGATGGACTTGAAACAGACCGGGACCAGGTCACGACCTCCGAGCAGGCCCACCATGTGGCAGGGGCAACCTCCGGGGATGTAATTTGGTACCGGGAGAGCCAGATGAATGTGATCTATCACGAGGAATAGACGGCAGGACCTAGCAGGATGGATCATGGAACGTCACGAGCGGGGGTCCCGTGGGGTAGGATCGAGGTACAGAATCGGCAGGCGGAGAGTAGTCAGGTCACACGCAGGGTCAGCAGGATAAGTCAGTCCGTAGAGAGAGGTCAAAACAAACCGAGGGTCAGGATGGGAGAAAATAGCAGAGTAGTCAGGACAATCCGGGTCAACACAGGATAGGCAGCGTAGTCAGGGTCAATCAGGGTCAAAAACACAGGTACAGGACTCAGGAACTCAGATAGACCTTGTGGCGATTACTGACAGTGCAGGGCATCTTTAAATATTGCGCCCTGCACTGTCATTGGCCGCTCGGGACGCGCCCCCGGGCTGTCATTGGCCGCCCGAGGCGCGCCCGCGGGTCCCACTGCGCATGCGCGGCATCCTGTCATCCACGGCTCGCCGGGACCTAGTGCCTGTGTCCAGGCTGTGAGCCGTCGCCAGTGCGCATGCGCCGGCCGACAGGGACGCCGCGATCCCTGACAGATATTGAGGGAAGTTGTATGGATTCCAGCACAATATAGAGAATTAGATGATAACACTAGTTTGTACACATTGAATGTTTTTGAGAGTTTGGGATGTAATGCACAAACAAATGGGATAGGAGTTTAACTCACAATCAATGCCCATTTGAGGAACACAAAATGTTTTTCCCCCAGGGCAGGAGAAGATAGTGGGAAAATGGATCAAGAAGGAAAATGCCCAGTTGAGAGACATAATGGTGTAGGGGGAATTGAAATCACTTAAGGATTTGGAAAAGGAGGGTGTGAAGTTT